CCCCCCAATCAAAATCTCGCTGCGTAGCGCACAAACCACGGGCAAAGCCATTACATGTATATCCAAATGAATGACAAAAACCCAAAGAAGTTATATTCAGTACATGTACAAGAGTTCGTGACAGTAATGTGCTCTACGTAAACGAACGAGGGCTGCGTGTGCCCTCTCTGGGACGCTGAACCTCAAGGCCAAGACATGCACAGTTTAACAGAAGGGTGAGAACTTTTCAAGACTCACGTGGAAGCCTCTCGGCGGTCTTAGGAGGAAATCTATAACTTGCACTGAAATATGGAGGCAGGGTGGTGTTCAATAGAGCTCGTTGGGAGCGGGGTGGGGGCTCAATTCTTCATGTAAACGGACCCGCGCCGCCGTGGCCGATTAGGGTAAGAAGGCCCTCATGTTTGACACATGACGTCACTGCTTCGAACTCTCGTATTATATAACCTCTTTGGGCAAAACACGAGTGCACGTGGCATCTTTTCCTTCCTGCATTTCATGTGGCTCAAATAATGGCGGGCTCCACACTTACAGGAAATACCAGAGAGAGCTCAAGCACAGTTTAGGATTTTTGCTTGTTTTGGTAAGTGTTTTACGGCGCTCGCAACTCAATAAGATCATATGAGCGCACGCGACACATTTAACATTTTCAGATTCGTTGGGATTTTAAATTTTTCCCCGGGTGGCGGACCGAAGTCTACTTTTATCGATTTTTGGACCACCAAGGGATCTTTACCGTGCGCAACTTGCACACGGGACTTCCAACATTTGTTTGTCTGTATGCAAGACTAGGATTTTATAATACACTGTAGCCTACGTGAATCTGTGGTGTGATGTAGTGTCATGGAACATTGACGTAACTTCGGGCTTATTATTTTGTGTGTACATTGAAGGCTTACTTGTCAGGGTAACCCACATTTTTTCATGGGGTTGGGCGGGGAGAGTTTTGATCGAGTATCTCAGTGTGTTCTGCTGGGATGTTGTTTTCTTCTCAGCCCAGGATGGCCCTAAATGATCTAAATTGTGTTGATGGTGACGTAAAAACACCTACATTAAGAAATAATATTAGCAAAATGATAGTAATAATAATAATAATAATAATGATAATAATAATAATAACAATAAGGATGATGATGACAATAATAGTAATAATAATAATAATAATAATAATAATTAATAATAATAATAATAATAATAATAATAATAATAATAATAACGCCCCCTCCTCCCCACCTTAAAAAAAACTTGGTTCGACAGAAGCTGTGCTTGTCTTGAGGATAAAGATAAATTATTGGTTGTGAATTCGAACCAGCGCTGTCCGCTTCGTAAACCAAACGTGATACCAACTGAACTAACGGTCCACCCAACATTAAACTTAGTCTACCACCCTGACAGAGAATAAAATGGTTTGGCCACCTGTTAAGTATGTCACCTGGCCAGCCTACAACACCAAGCACTCAGGCAATAAAGGAAGAGGAAGGCCACGCAAAAGAAAGATCAAGGATGTCAAGGAAACCATGAGAAAACATAATTATATCAAAACTGAAAAAGCTGCGGAGTTGGCCTACCATAGACATCTGTATCTCCCCTCGATGGCAACAGAGGATGAAAAAGTAAAAGAAAAGTAAAAGTACCACAGTGAAGCCGTCTAATAAAGTTACTGAAGATCAGATGGACAGACAGGGTCACCAACGAGGAAGTGTTAAGGAAAACAAGACAGATCCCAGTCAGAGATGAGGTAGGAAGAAGGCGGTGGCAATGGATTGGAGATACTCTCAGGAACTCAGGCAGTTGCATAGCAAAGAAAGTGTTGGAAAGGAATCCGCAGGGTAAAAACCAAGGGGAAGACAGCGTGGAACCTGGAGAAGAATCACAGAAATTGATGTACAGAAACGTGGGAAGACATGGAATAACATCAAGAGGCTAGTCCAGGATAGAGAAAGGTGGAAAATGTTTTTCCATAACCTATACCCTGGTGCAGGGTGAGAAAGGCAATGGTGATGACCACACTGAAACTCACATAGTAGGCTACATCGTGCAACGAACATGAACAGAATCAAACACAACACAAGATAATTCTAAGGCTAAAAAATTTAATTTATGTTAATACTATTTCACAGTTATGGTTTAAAATATGTTTACAAAAAAATCAACATATAGAAATGATCAACGACATTTGGAGTTCAAGTTTTCAGCACAGCATCATAAATGCAAAGACACACAAGGTACATAACTCAGTAATTATTTCTGGCATACAAGTTTGTTTCGAGTTACTGCCCCTGAACGACAGCAACGTAAAGCTATCAATAAATTAACTCGGTGGGATTTTTGTCATTTACAAAGATCACAAACGAAGGAAGGGGAACCATTTGTTTATCGAGAGTGCGGAACAAGAGAGTGGACGGTGAATTCTGTTCTGTTTTTAGGGTGTGAGTGGGTTGAGTGGTGGAACATTTTGATGGCTAGCCTGTGAATTTAGACTTACTGGTTAGGACAAAGCTGATCTCAAAGTACTCCTTTTTTTGGCCATTGTACATGTATGTATGTGTGTGTGTGTGTGTGTGTGTGTGTGTGTG